CCCCCCCGCCCGCCCGCCCGCCCGCCCGCTCACTCCACTCCCCATTTCCACCGACGCGCCGCCGCCCGTTCGTGATACCGCACGTAAACGTTATAACCTATACGTGGGCACGGGTGAACATACGCGTATTTAAATCGTTACGAAATAATAATTTTACTATCGAGTGTAAACATCGAAGTAACAGCTGTAATTGCTGCAGTGACGTGGCCCATCAAGACGGCGACGTCCGGAGGGATTTCGACGACAGCCGTTTCGAAAATAATGCCGTTTTCGTTATTCCGCGCCACTTTTTTACAATGAACAATGCCACGACAAAAACTCGTCCGTTACAATATCGGTAATTGTATAAGATCAGTTTTTCGTCATCTCTCCCGACCGCACGGCGGGAATCTGCCGGTAGCGTCGATATAGGAAATAATATTTTTGAAGTTGCCGTATTATGTTGGTTTTTTTTTTTTATGTTTTCGAGTTTCGCGTATCTCGGCTGTCGACGATCCCGCGCTACCAGTTTGTGAACGTTTAACACTACCGGACAATCATATATTTTCTATTTTTTTTTTTTTTTTTTTTTACAAGTTTATACGTTTGTACTAAACAAATAATGACTGTCAAAGTGTCCGATATTGTAATAGTCACCCGGTCGCATTTTTCGTTTCTCTCTCGCCCCTTTCCCGCCCCAAAATATTACGTGGCCGTCGCATCCGCAGATATACTCGTATAAATACACAATAATCGACAAATGTCTTATCGATCACACAGTATAGGTGTTTGTCGACTGACAAGTATTCCCGATCAGTATGAATTCAGTGACACCGATCACCTAAATTATGGTTGACAGATGTGATAACGGTTTTGGAGAGGTGGGCGATAGTGTTCGTCATTAGTACGAATTAAGGATTGTCATTTATAAGTAGGCAATAAGTCATTACCTAATACCTACCTAGGTACTTATTACTAAATACCATTGTGATTACCTAATAGATAATACACCTATTTAAAGAGTTTAAAACCAATATTTCTGCAATTACGATTTACGCGGCGATAACCACGCGGTCTGTATACGAAACCACCAATGTTATTATCAACCGTAGTGCACTGGTTTGGTCGTAAAGACTTCATAAGTTTGACTTTCTCGGTTTGACCTCGATGCGCGCAAGCCTCGTTGCATTTGTGTATTTCACAAGTACGCCGATAGTTGACGATGGTCAAAAAGCCATGTCCTCACAAATTATTATCATCAGATATTTCCATTAGATCCCTATTATTTTAATTCACGAGAATAATTATTACAATGTTTAGATTATTTTCATTCCGATTTACATCCATAGCCCCCGCCCGTTAACAGAGTGTCATTATTTATGCATGTTCGTCAATCTTATTTTACATATTTAAACACTTATTTATGTATATAGGATAAAGTATCCAATTTAAACGAAACTAATCATGATGTGTATAATATCTCTTCGTTTAAAATAGTATGAAGACGATAACATATATATCCAGACAGTGAACACCTTATCTACACACATGTTATAAATAAATGACATATGTACTTTGAAAAAAAAAAAAACATATCGCTCAGGAGTTAAACTAGAATTCTTCTGTGATCGAATTCTGCGATTCTTCTGTGTCGCCATAAAACAAAATTACGATTACACTTTAATATAAAACAGTGATTTTCTTAAATTCATTACTGACACGGGTAAGTAATTTATTAATGATTAAAATTATATAATATAACAAACATTAAATTTTCATGATGTATTATTATAATCATAAATTCCCTGAAAAAATAGAGTATCCATAATAGTTAAAATACATTTTGGTAAAGAATTTTTTGATTTACGTCAACTCGTTCACGAGATATTCCACTTATAAGCTAAGGCAGGATAGAGTAGTGCGTAGCAGGGCGCTGTGCTGCTACGCAAATTATGCTCCACTATACTGTTACCCTTCCATAACTTAAAAATTGAACATCTCGTGAATGAGTAAATGGAAATCAAAAAATTCAACATTAAAATGTATTTCAACTATTACTCTATCTATTCATGGATTTCTTAATAATAATAAAGGTTCATATTTCAAAAACCAAAGTTAATTTCGCCAACAGGATATTTCTTAAATGTTGTGAATAAAATCTAAGTATACGAATATATCGTCTTTAACTATAGATACTTGAACATTTAAAAAATTATAATTTGCATGGTATAACATAAGTATTAAAGTAACAAACCTGTTTGCGATCTTAATCATGTTTTTCATACTAGTATACTAAAAGAGAAGTAAACTGTTTTTAAAAAACAATAGCTATTTTAATAAAAATATGGATAAAATTCACACGATGGATAGGTGAGAAGTTGGGAAGATAGGATAGAGAAGGAAATTTAATGTATATCTATATTCAACGACTAATCATTGGTAACAAAAAACGATTCTGAGCGGAGTTCAGTTATACATGTTTAAGAAGGCCGTAATATTTGCGATTCTCGTCAAAATTTAATATTAAAATTCTAATGCACCAACTAGACAAAATTTCATTTCGGAAAAGGTACTATACTTTATACATAGGTTTTATTTCAAAAAGTGGTTTACAGACAGAAAAAAAAAACAAAAAGTCATAATAAAACCAATAGATCCCTCGCTACGCTCCAAATGTAAAAATTAGCTTTTAATTTTATTTAATTAGTAATACAGTAGTACTATAGACACCTACTTATATTAAGCACTTTTTTAGTGTCTCTCTTGATAATAAATTGTCAGAATGAAATTCAAAATTTAAATAGTTTATTATACATATTTAATTTGTTATGTTCCATTGGTATAAGCACAGTATTCCCGAATTCGTGCACTACAGTTGAAATCGCTCAAACTCTACCAGTTTATAGTTGCATAGGAAAAGGCACTAGGTGACCTCGGATAATGCGAAAAGAATTAGAGAGAGTTTTCAGCGCAGTTTGATAAGATACTCTTCGTGTGACCGAAATAAGCCATATAGGACATTTATAGGTAAGTACCTTCCGTTAACTAAATTCTAGACATTAACGCAGACATCGTATTGTTATATTACTGTAAACCTAAAACCTACAAATATCATTCGTTTAAACCCGGATGGAACATTTTAAATAAACCTGTATGCGTACAGAGAAGAAAATGTATTTCAATATTCCACGCGGTGCGAAATCGCACGTTTGAAATATTTCAAAAGAAAAACGATCGGGTCGGCTTAACGTTAGTTTCACGCGAATCGAACGTACCCATGAAAACCCAATTAAAAATCTCAAAGACCAATGGGTGTTTTACAAACGCACGTGCAATATGCCTATGCGTAGTTTCGCAGATCATATTACTATTATGCGGACCGTTAAAGTGTAAAAGTACGCTGTCGGATTGGCGACTGCGACTATAAGACCATAAGCAATCGAATGCCGAACGAAATTATATCGTTTGTTTAACAACTGGACGGACACAATATGACATAATGTTGATAATAGCGAGTTTTCGAAATTGAATGTTCCGTACAAAACTTTATTATAATAGTGTCGATACTGTCGATCACCCGATTAAATCTGCCGC